TAAATGACAGAAGTAGACCATGTTATACAAGGGATTGTTATTAAGTAGATTGGGAAAAATATTAAATGTCCAGTGTCTGTCTGTTCACTAAAACTGTTTCATGGCATTGATGTGTCTCACCTTTATAACTTTCACTCCCATTTAAAGATACCCAAAACAAACTGGTTTCCACTACTGCAGCAAAGAAGACCAGCAAAAGATATCACCTTCTCTTTATTTATGTGCAGTAAATTATAATAATAATATCATAATAGTATAATAATAAAAAATAATAATAACTAAAAAATCACAAAGCTCATTACATAACTAATTTTAGGAATGCTGCTGGGTTGTGGAGTTATTTTTAATAATGCACTCTTTCATGAAGATGAGTTTTAACTCAGCTTCACGTAAATGCTGACCTGTTTTATAATGACCACAGTGATGGGGCAGCCCCTGAGAGAGGGGACACCCGAGTGCAGTTGGGCTGTCCAGGAGTTACTCAGCATCTGGAGAGATTGCACAAACCTCTTAGAAAAATGTTTTTGAGACTTTCTTTTCCCGAAAGGAATGGTACCTCTATGGACTATGAACATTGTTTCTCTTCTTATTAAAGGGAAGAATTATCCTGATGGTGACAGCAATAAATGTTTTTAGATTACTGAGAGGGTTACACACAACAAGAAAATAATTAAATTTGAGGTTTTACTTAAGATACAAAACCCATTAAAACATGGTCTTTTTCCTGCTGATGCCTAGAGCCCTTTGCCAGAGTTTTCAATGTCAGCAGGACTGTGCCTCTCTTACTTGTAAGGAAAGACTCACTCTGTGATGATTACAAATGGAAAGACTGAACAATACGTGCTGCTGAGAAAGTCCTGTGACTGGGAAAAATTCCTCACATCTCCTGCTGCTGCTTTCAGCATCATCATTTGGGTTATTTGATGTCACAGTGGGGCTCCCAGGGCGGCCGACGTGGCAGAGGCCAGCGCTGATGCTCCCAGCTCCCGGACCAGTGCTGTAATTGGAAAGAGAAGAGCAGGTTAAGACAAACACATCAGAATGGAGAGCTAAAGGCAGCAAGAGACGAACCCTTGCAGTGATGGAGTTATCACAGCTTGGCTATTTTCAGGTTGTAATTTCCTGCAGACATACAGGAAGAGTGAGAAAAAACAACTTGTATGTGATTAAGTTAAAACCACTGTTGTGATCTTTATGCCTTTCAAAATGAAAAAATAAATCTCAGATTATCTGTATCTGAATCCAGGAATGCATTTTCCTCCTAATTTCACCAGACCTCCAGAGCTGCAATTAGTTATTGAGAGTATCCGTGTTTTCTTGGTCCCACCTAAGGATTCAGCAGCATTCAATATCCGTGGACACTGAGCATGTCACCATGTTCCCTTTTGGTTTGGTGACAGCATCCCCCCAGATGTCAGTGGGAACTGGGATAGGCTCTGGAAGGACTTGTGAATCTCTGTTAAGCTAACTTCTTCTCTACAGAGTTTTCAAATTATCACTGTTTTAATCACATGATACTTCACCAAGAGTTCTTTGTAGCAATCTAGTGCACTAAAACACATCACCAGATGAAAATTATCAGCAAAATGCACTGAAGTGTGAGAACCAGCCCACTAAGGTGCTCTGAGAGCTGACAGGGAAGGAAAGTGCTTGTGAAAATGCAGATGAGTGAGTGACTTGCTTGGCTCTCAGGGGTCAGGGGTGGAGGAATAAAAGAAAACACTGCAAATTCAGATGCATTGATGTGTGGACAAGATGGCTCAAACGTCTTCTTTCATTTTGATGTCACTTTTTTAGGCAACTGGTGTTTATCTGTTTAGGAACAGAGGAGTCATAAAAGAGATAAAAGATTGTTTTTTCTCAGGAAGAAACAAGTCTAACCCACAACAGAAATCTTTCTCTATATTTTCACCATAGTGACAAAGTGACTCCTCTGTTTTCATTAACAATACTGTACTTGTCAAGCAAAAGTCAAGTCAATAACTAATAGCTTCTTGAAACATAAGGTTTTGACATGTAAGGTCTTTGCTTTCAGTTAATGGAAACAGGCCATCACGAGAGAACTTGACTGTGCCCTCCTGGTCTAAGTCACCTCAGAAATTGCTGAAAAACAGTAATCAGGGTGAGTGGGAATTTAGTAAGGCTGGCTGGGGCCAAACTTGGTCCCTATGGTCTTGCAGGACAGAACACAGTGCATTCTTGCAAATTTATTTGTAACATTTTGCCTGTTCCCCATAAATGTACTTTTACTCACTCACACTTGTGCACTAGTAGCCTAGTCATCTCTCAACCACAAAATTTTCCACCAAGACTTATGTAAAGGCTTGCTACAGATATTCCATTCTAGTGCTTCCTAATAAGAACCACTTTCAGACTTATCAAAAAGAGATAGAGGTGGTTTCATCAGTGTGCTACTGCTCCCTCAGTCATGCTCTGACCTTGGGCAGGTAATTTATCTGGTCTGTGCATCAGTTTTTCCTTCTACAGAGAGGGGGAATTGAATTTTACCTTATAGGGGCATACTGTGAAGCTGCAGAGCTTTAAGGCTGACAGGAGCAGACCTAATAAAGGGACAAGATACAAGTCCCCGAGGCACACACAGCTCTTGGGTGCATTTCCCAGGACTTTGCCCTTAGAGTGCATTTTATAAACAAGGCCAAAGGGATTTAATTAAAAAAAAAATTAAAAAAAAAAGTAAGTCTTCTTAAATTTAAACATGACATTAGCTACCTCTCAAAATCATAGCATTAAATTAAAACTTCTAATGAGAGCTTTCAGATCAAAACACTACACAGTAGCTCAAATGGAACAGAAATAAAAAGGCATTTATAGCCAACTGCTCTCCTGCCAACCACTGCTTTGCAGGCTGGGGTCAGCTTCCAGTCAGCAGCTGCAATGAACACAATTTTTGAAGCTGCAATAAACTCTACTCAGGAACTTCCCAGCACCTGAGAAGGGCCCTGTGATATCACCCCCACACTGCAACTGCCATCCCAGCAGAGCAGCAGTCCTTGCCCCATGTGTGGCATCTCCAGAGCACTTACATCCTTAAAGAATAACAACTGGTGACTGTCAGCACAAAAATAACCATCTGCATTGTTCTCACCAGGCTGGACAAGGATGGACAAGGGCAGATCAATGCACTCCCAATAGAAAGGAGAGGGGCAAGAAATATGAACTCAGTTCAATCCGGGAAGACCTTGCTCATGGGCAGATGCTGATTTGGTCTCCTACCTCCATCAGAACCATGTGCATACCTTCACTTCCCCACTCTGCAGCCAGGAAAACAAAATGTTTCTGGGACATTTGTCAAACTTCTGCCCTCCTCCCTAGTTTTCTGGAGGATATTTTTGGTGGGGTTTATTTTTTGGCGGGGTTTATTTTTGGTTTGGCTTTTAAAAAAAAAATATTGATGAAAGTCTAAAATTACTAAATATCTTCTTTACTTTCTCTCTAAACATCAAGTTTGATTCTCCAAATCTGCAGTTTAAAAGGCATAAGAACCTCGAGATGGGTCTTGCAGAAGTGAGACACTTTGCCTGACAAGGGCAAAGGGCAGCAAAGGGTGGATGCATGTGCCAGATGGGCCATGGCCGGGGTACAAAGCAGTCAGTGAGGCTGCACAGCTTCCCTGCTGCAGCTCACACAGTGAGGGCTCCCTGCAGGGCCCACAGATAGTGGCTGTTGTGACGTGCAGAGTCACAGATCTGTGCTGTTTGCTGTTCTTGCCATCCCACTCCTCTTAGCTCTCCAAGTGTCCAAGCAGATCCTCTCTAACATCTTGTCCCAAAATATTCATTTATGGCTATTTCTCAAGCAGCTAGATATTATTTCTGTTAATTAGGTCTTTTGGCTGCTTGATATGCCAGAAAAGTCACATTTTTCTACTCTTTTTCTCCTGTTTCTGAGTTGTTGTATTTATTCAAGATGAAAGCCAGATGTTATATTAATAAGAGAACTGACTTTCCTAAAGGGAAACATTCATCAGGGCAGAAGCAGACGTTGTAGCTTTGCTGTGAATTATTTAAATTCCTTCTTTTTTTCTTTTTCTTCTGAACAGGAAATCCAAGAAGATGTATTTGAAAGCAATAGTATTGTGACTGCAGAATAAAAGCCATTTACCCTAATCCCTTTAAAAGCTGGTAATAGGGACTAAAATGTACTGAAGTTTAAAAATGTTTAAATTTGAAGAAAAGACAAATACAAACCCAAAATATTTGGGAAAAAAGAATGTTTGGATAATTTACATAGCAAATACTTTTTAAATACAACAATGGATAATTACTATCAAATCACAGAGGCTCTTCTCCCACAGCCAGGGTTTTAGCACAAATGAACCTAAATGACACTTTATGATGAAAAAACCAACATTCTACAAAACAGCTCCTCTGATATTGTGTTGGATGGGTACACTGTGATTACTTTCATAGAGAGGGTGGGATGGGGTGACTTGGGAACAAGTCATTTGTGCAAGGATAAACTTCCCCAAGGTACTGCCCAGCAGGTTCTTGGGGTGTTTCTGACATCTGGGTTTGGCACTTGTGGAGCTGTGCTGGGTGTGACTCTTGGTCTGGTGCTGGAGGTGCCATATACTCCGTGGGTGCCTATTTTTCATCTCCTCCTCTTATTTCTCTTCACAGTGGCAGGAATGACATCTATAGGAAGAACAGCACAGAAGAAAACTGCAGTGTTTTCTCAATATGAAAATTCAATAGCAAATAAAAAACACAATTCATGGAAAAAACGAAGACTTTGTAACTGACTGATGACCACAGTATTTCCCTGGGAGTGGGGGCAAGAGCAGCCTCACACATTACCCCTCCTCTTGCACCTGCTCTTATGGACATGTTGCTCACACTTACTTGTAATCTGCATTCTAACAAGCCAAACATGGCTTAGAAATCTAACTTCAGGAGTATAACTTTTCAAACAAAGACCTAAGCTTCTCACACATCCAAATTAACACTTTGACAATATTCCTGCAATGTATAAGCTATAATCCTTAATATTTAAATAAATAATGTATAGATCAGATATTTCTAATATCATACACTCATAGAAACAATCATAATCCTGAAATCTCACTTACCCAGTTTTGGAAAACTTGTTAAAGTGGTAATGAAATTATCTCCTTGTATAGAACGCTATATTCTTATTATTAAATATTTCCATTATGCCATTGCTGGAATATTTTTAAAATTAATATAATCTGTTGTAATAAGAAGAAGAATACTAGTATAGCTATTTTACAGAATGTGTTCCAGTTGAACGAGCTAATTAGCTTTTAATAATGAGACCCAGTCAATGGATTTACAAAGCAAGCTACTGGAGCTTAATGATTTCAAATGCTATCACATTTACAAGTTAATGTAGCATAAATTATTCATGAGCATCTTATAAATAAGTGTAATAAGTTATTTCCAGGGCTAGTGCTTCCTTAAAATGAGATTCTTCTGAAAATGCCTTTAGAAACAGAGCTTTGTGTGACCCCACATCTACTGTTTTCTGCTATTTTCACATGAAGTTGTAGAAGTTTGGAAGCAGAAGGTCATTCACCAGCCCAGATTTCCTTCAGCCCATGTCTCTGCTAAGCCCTGACAATCCCCATGGTTTAAGGGCAAGCAGAGGCAGCAGAAGCACTCAGTGTAATACTCAGGTTCTCTGACTCCCTCTCTCAATGGCACACAGTTATGGCTACCAAAGCTGGAGGAGCTGCCTCTCCCAGAACCAGTATTATCTTTGGTTTAACAGCAGTTTGGGCCACACGGAATTGGAACAAGGGTCATCTACAACACAGCACTGTTATCTCACACTGTGAAAAGCCCTTGCCTTGCTGACTCCTCACATCTCCCTCAGTACAGAAACAAATGCCAGGGAAACTTCCTAAAGTTAAAGGCGGAAGAGCTGCACAAAAGCATCAGCAACACCCCTCTACTTCTTCACCCGGCCCTTTCTTTCATGGGCAGGTTCTTGCTTATCCAGCAAATGGAGCTACACTCACCTGTGAAAAGTCAGCAAATTTTACAAACTCTTTCCAACCCAGGCGTTGTCACTCACTGTGAAAGAATGGCAGAGTTTCAGTAGCAAAAGGTGAATTGATCTTAAAAAAACATTTAAAAAAAAGAGGTAGGAGCTGGTTCAGGAGATATTCTACAGGTAGTTAAGAGTTTTGAGTCTAAAGGAGGGATACTAATTTAGAGGGAAGGGTCTACCAAGGGCAGCAGGAGGGAAGGGTTGGCTTGGTTGTGAGGTATTAAGGTATTTATATTCCTTTGCCTTGTTCCCACTGCCATGCTTGGCCTGGCTCGAGGGATTCCAGCTGTCAACAGAAACACAACTTTGGTTGCAGCTGTTCAGGTTAGGGCTTCAGTTTATATCCCCATGAATGCTTTTCTTCAGTGTTCAGAAGAGTTAAACTGGTTCATCAAGAAATTGCTTTGATTTGTGAGAATATTTAAAAGTCAAATCTTCTGGTGCAGAATCATCTCTGTCAAACATCACTTTTTATGCAAAAAGAATCTCTCTTCCAGCAGGGATTTTTTATTTATCTTATATACAATTCATAAATCTACAAATTCTAATCCTAGTTTAAGACCAACAAACACACAGTAAGATTAAGGCAGGAATGCTTTCTCTGTTTAATTGCCTGTCTGAGTTACATCTTGGCAAAGTTCCCAATGATTTGGTTGTTTTCTTATGGATGGTACTCCAAACATTTTCTCCATTTTGTTATTTTGCTTACCAGTGGGAGATCTTATATGACTAAGAAGCATAGATACCTGTAGAACTTCAGACTTTCAGAAGAAGAATCCCCACCATTCCATTCAGCTGTCATCATTTGGGATTGTTTTGGTTTTGATTTTACTGGGTTTTTGAAGTCACAGCAAGATCTCTTCAGGCCTCAGAAGGAACTATATGGTCCTCCTCATATTTCTGATTTGAATAATTAGCTACAATTAATATTTCTGAAGAACGGAGGAAACAGTTGGTTTCACAGTTGTTCATTGAAAGCCAGAGAGTACTGAATTTTCTCTCAAAAGAGTAACTTGGCAATATTTATTTATATTATCAAGAAATAAGATGAGGGGGAAGACAGGTGAACTATATTCCTCTTACTCACTTGTCACATGGAGAAGCTGTTCAGTACAAATTTGAATGAGCAGAAGTTCATTAGATGCATCAATCTTAAAAATTGCAACTGTTTCATTATCAAAGTTCATTTGCACAACAGAAGAAGACAAGCTTGACTCAGAGGATTTCTAGCAAAGCATGTGCCATTTACAGTGACGGTGAGCTCAGGAACTGGAGTCACTCCTCAAGAGATGTTAATTATTGCCATCAGGCTCTCCAGCTTACTGTATCCTTTCAAGTTGCATTTCAGTCCTGCTTTCTCCATCAAGAATATAGCAATCTGGGACAGAAAGGCAGATATGTAGACATAAATATCCACATGTGCATAACTTGCATAAGCACATACACCATACACACACATACACACACACACAGTGTTATGGAAGTCAAAAATGTCTCCCCAAAGAGAAAGAAAACAAGAGCAAACATCATCCCACTATTAAGAAATTTATGCTGTTTTTCAAAGGGGACAGAAAGGCACACGAATCTGTGAGGTGATGCCTTCCTCTTGGGTATTTCCCTATGGTCACCTCAAAGTTCATTCACAAAGTTAAAATTCAGCTTAGCAGCAATAGCAAGAAAAGCAGATGGGTCGGATAGTCTGCAGGAGGCTACAAGGGATGACAGTAGTTAACATTCTTGTCTATATCTGTGTTAGAGGTATGAAAAGATATTCAATGCATACTCCTCCAAAAAAAACATTATGGATATTTATTACTTCATGACCATTGTTTCTGCTATCAGCTGGGCTTTTAGAGGGCACCCCTGTGAGACTCTGGTTCAAAAAACAAATTGATGTGATTCACTTGCAGGTTTCAGAGAAATCATATCTTCACATAGTATGACAAGGTCCTTGATGAAGAGTGAAGGATCATTGTCAGTATTTGGGTATATCTATCAAAGTAGTTTCCATAAACATCCCTAAGGCAGATTAAAAAAATTTACAAGATGTTGGGAAGAAAACCAATGCACATGTTTGTAGACCTTTCTGAGCCCTGTTTTTTCTCCTCCTTTAATTAGTAATTTATTAAACATTTTAAAACCATTAAGGTTTGCCAAGCAATTCCATCAAGCTCCATCTGTCAATGAGTCTATGAGTCTTCAGCTCAGTGAAGAACAAATGAGCAATGTCAACAAGGCATTCAGTTAACAGGAACCAGGTGGGGCTTGACACTATTTTCAAGTCGTGCGTCATTGCATCGCATTCTTGAGCCTGATGTGACTTCCTCGGAGCAGTGCCAAGGTCAGGCAAATCGTTATTTACAATTAGTGACATCTTGAATATTGCACACTTAAATTTCTCTTGTCCTTGTTTCTTTTGAACTAGTCTGTCTTCTTTTGATTCTGACTGTAAGCTCGTTGGAACAAGGATTTCCAACTATTTAGAGTTTGAAAACAGGCCGGAGATCAGCCTCCACCCATGCGCTCACCAGGAGACAAATGATGGCTTCACAGACACATGAAACAGAGCTTTCTTCTCCCCAGGGAGTGGTTTGTTGTTCTCAAGCTGTCACCCAGCGTAAGGTCACCAAAGTGAATAAGGGATTCACTCCTACAGCACAACTCAGCTCCTACCTGCTTTTCTGCTGTTCCTCAGTTGTTGGGCTTCTGCATAAATTAAACTCTCAGCTGCCTTGGCAGTTCCTGCTGCCTTCTCCTCACTGCCCTGTCATGTAGAGCCCAAGTCTGCCTTCCAGCCCCTTTCCAAACCTCCCTTAGCTGCCTCAGTCTCCTCTTAAACCAGCACGATCCCCTCGCACAGACAGACCCAGGACCTGAGCACAGTCTCCATCTCCCCTCTCCAGATTCAGGGCATGGCTCCATTTTGCAGATTCCTGCTGTGTGATATCTGTAAGATGCAATTTTCTTATGTAATCAGCCATTAAAAAACTTCACCAGCAGTACATCCATCTGATACAATCTTGCCTCAAAAACCCAATCTTCTAGCTCATCCCCTTTCAGAAACCTTTACTGGACTGCTGCATGACATTTACCTGCCACCAGCAAAGCCAGCCATCCCCACTGCCTCGTCACCCATCAGTTCCCAGCTCCAGGCAGACACATTGCAGCTTCACAGGCAGAAATCTCTGATTTTTCCCCTTTGCCTCCTTTGTTGATTTAACATCTTATAATAGATAATTTTAAGAGCCTTTTGGTCTGAAAGGCTTCCTGAGGGTCTGCATCATTACCCATTCGCTGTATTTATTCTGAAGATGCCAAACCATCACAGACAAATTAGACTCTTAATTACCACAATAGGAAAATGAGCTTTACTATTAAAAAAATGATGATGGTGTCTTGTTGGAACACAATTTAAGAAAAATGTAGAACAAGAAAACATATGAAGGGGACATAGAATCATAGGATCATAGAACGGTTTGGGTTGGAAGGGATATTAAAGATTATCTAGTTCCAAATCCCTGCTATGGGCAGGGATACCTGTCACTAGACCAGGTTGCTCAGAGCTCTATCCAACCTGGCCTTGAACACTTCCCAAAATCTCTGAGTGTAATTTCCCTAATGTATCTGGTTGAAGATGGGTTGTTGATACATGTTTTCCTTATAACAAGCACTACTTAAAAAATTTCTCCTTATTATTCTTGCTAAAAGTCTTCAACAGTTTACCATTTTGTAATTATTATGTTATCTCCTGCATTTGCAGTATTGAATCTCTCATTAGTTGCTTATACACCAGGATTTGGAGATGATTATCACTTTGTTGCTTTGAATTTATACTTTGATATGATAATTTGCTGTCTAGATATTATCAATAAGAGCTGGAGGAGGCACCCTGAACACCCTGGCTGTAATTTGATGAAGGATTTGTGGTTCTACTTGCCAGGTCTTTAAACAACAATCTGCCTATGCAGGGCCTTTGCCTAATAGCCCCCTCTGCCATTCCAATGAATTACATGTTGGTGCGGGGGAAGAAGTGATTATTACAATTCATTGCTTTTAAGTCAGAGTGTCTAAACAGTGTCTACAGCCTCTATGGGAAGGGATGGTCATAAAGGACTTGTTTACAGCCCTGCATGCCCTCTTCTCTTGGAATTTATTAAGTAGGTAAATAGCACAAATGCTAGTCAGAGTTTGTGTTTTATGTCCTGTTCTAATTCAGTTGTAACTCCAGTAAAAATATTGTCAGTGACCTTTGCTAGTTCATAGTCTGTATCTGAGGGAAGAAAAGGGACCTTGTTTTTCACTATCATTTATTCAATTATTTATTTAATAAAAGGCTAATGCCAGACAGGCTTCCCTGCTAGCACATGTATCAGAACTATTTCTGAGCAGAAGAGCAGCACCAGTTTGCTGTTTGCCCCATCTTTGAGAAGATAGCCAAATTTATTTTCGCAGAAAACACGAGCAAAACTCAGCCATTCATCTTAACAAAGGTTCACCCCAGGGTGATGGTCCCTGCAGGGACCCTGTATCTCATTTTGGTTTAGGAACAGGTCATCCCTGCCAGCCCTGGCCTTGGGTGCAACCTCTGGGAGAACAGGCACCACTGGCAGCACAGCAGTCACAGGGGGAGCACTCTGGACTCAGTGCAAGTCTAGACTAAAATAATTAAAGTCCCTTGTCAACTGCATGCAAAGAATGTCACTGTCACCAAAGCCAAATTCCCATAGTTTTACAGCTCCCAAAACAGGCTGCCAGACTGCACCTGGGGCAACATTTCTATGACCCTTCACCAACATTGGTTAAATAAATTCAAAGCAAAATGATGACAAACATGAAAATTGGAAGTAACCACAAAATTCTGCCTGTTCATATTTTCAAGACAATTCCTGTTTGTAAAAGATCCCAGTTCCTGGACTCCTTGGCTTGACAGCTGCTTGTTTGGTTGCATAGCAACTTTCTCTCTGCCTCTGCTTGCCAGAATCAAAGGGCCACATGTTGCATAAAATAATTAGAGTTTTTCTTGGCTCAGAGGAACCGAAGTTCAAGCAGGCTGGCTGGCACCTTGTTCCTTGCACTGCTCTCTGACTCCAAACACCCACCTTGACGATAAGTGGTATTTGTAGCACCGAAATCACAGACCTATCATCTGCCTTTTTTTTTAAAGTATGGTCCTTCCTGTCATTGGCCATCTCCTGCTCTGAAACTAAAGAGGAAAGAGGCCCCTGTACAAGAAGATGATTATCCAGTGTGAAGTGGGAGCACCCTTGTTAGAAAATTTGTTTTTAGAAAATTTGTTTAGAAGATCCAGTGCTTTCCTGTTCTTTCCCAGGGACATGTATGATGGCTATTTAACACCTCATAACGATGCAAGACCTGACTCTGAGAGCAACCTCCTCTTTTGATGCCAGTCATGAAGGTGCTGGCAGTCAGCTCTGCCTCCCACAAAGTACACACCCCAGCCCTGGCTCATGGCCTGGCATAGCCACAGCTTTTGTCTATTGGGTTGGCTTTAGGATGAGACCAGCTGCACTTTAGCACAAGGCTGAAGCACAGTGAGCTCTCAGGGTGCCCCCTTGCAGGGCTGTGATCTGGGAGGCTGGTGAGGGAACTCTGTTTGGATGGCCTTTCATGCATTTCTGCATACCTGTGCATTTCCTTCTGGGGGTGTACCCCAACAGTGAACATGGCTTTTCTGGAACAGAGACCCAAGTTGTGCCTCTCATCACTGCTCTGTTTTATGCTTTGTCCACAAAATCAGTAAGGGTAGGCAATTACCCCAAATTGTTCCCAGCTCCCACAAGCATAACCATCTTTAGGAGCAGTCCAACTTTCAACAGAAGAAAAAAAACAAAAATCACTCTAAAAAGAGACCTTTTTTACAGGATCTTTAGGGCAAAAACCTGCACAAGCTTAAAACGACAAATGGCTGCCTTTGATGGAAATATACCAAGGACCCAACCCTGCTGTCCTATATTCCTGCTGTTTTTGGGAAATGGGTCCATGGATTTAATAAAGTCATACTGTCATTTAATTGACGCTGAAACTTCCTCACTTTTTTTTTTTTTTGCACCTCATAGTTTGCAGAGCACAATGTCAG